TCAGTTGTGCTGTTGTTGTGCAGCAGTGGAGAGCAGTGTTTCTGATGCAGCATTTTACCATCAGAGAAAGCTCATTATCAAGTCATTAACATGCACATAAATAATTTACTTTTCTGAAGAAGAACTAAAGGTATAGTGCAAGCCAACTCTTTTATGTAGCTCTGTTCTCTGTCCATGTGCTGCACTGACCTTGCAGTTAAATTCCACCTTTTTTGTTCTGTCAGCATAATTGCAAAAATTGTTTTTTAACATTTGTGAATCAATTCAAAATTGTAGAAGATATGAATCATTTTTTTCCTCACCCCTAATAAATACATTTGCACATTTTGCCTTGACCTCTTTTATACAGTTACTGTACATTATAACAATGTGATAATGTGAAAGCATATAGTAGCACTGACTTTAGTTTTATTAGCTACCAGATTAATGGCATACAAAACAGAGATGTTAACCACACTTGTTGTTCTGAAATGTCTACTGATATTGGTGAACAACAGAGTCCTTATCATAGTGCAAGTCTGAATAAATATGGCTAAATCTCTTCAGTAATCCCTTCTGATAAATGGCGATTTCACAAGGCTACCTTGTGGATGCAGAGGTAGTGAGCAATGCACAATGCCTGGACTTATTTGTATATAAAGTATTTGAATATTCATGAATCCTGGTCCAGACATATTTTCAGGCCCTTTGCAGAGCCTTTGAACTTTTTTGTGGAAAACCTCTTTGACAATATTTTTCATAAGCTCTAAAACATATCTAGTGTCTGAAAAGCCCAACAAATGTTCTATGTGAACTCATCACCCCTATGACCCCTGTCACATTCAAGTAGTCAATTGATCTATTGTTGATTTTAAAAAAAGATTATAGCAGCTTTAAATATTTTTACTGACATAGAACACCTTTAAGAACAATGAATAAGACATTTGTAAGACAATTAGCCTGAAAAGTTTAAACTGAAAAGTTTAAGCTATTTGGGCACCATTTTAGGGCAATAAAGTTTAATCTGGCCTCGTACTGGTTGAACACCAACAGAGCAGAGGTCATGGCTTCACTGTAACCCAGAGTGAGATGAACACGAGCTGGTGGCTGTTTTGTACAGTTTTCCCAACTAGGCATCCATATATTTATGTTGTTACTAAGACACAAGACGTCACCTTTTGAGTTTCACTAGCACTCTGGCAGCTGACAGAAATTAGTTTGCACCTTTAAAGTGTATTTAAATTTTGGATTTATGCTGTAGTCATGACTTACTGTATTGTAACTCCCTGAAGTTTAAAGTTATTATTTGGTGCATATTTAAAGAGTTGAGCTCTATTTTTCCTTATTACCCTAGCAGAGCAGAGGCTTCTTATTGCTTTTCTGTCACATGCATTGCCTTTGTGTGGTGTACCTCTTCTTCTTCCCATTGTTCTCTCTGCCTTTTTCAGCTTTAAGTTTATTAGGTTCACTTCTTCCTCCTTTTTTCTGAATAGTTTCAAAGTGCTTGTAAATTTTCAACGCAAAGAGGCTATATTTCTTATACACATATACAGTATGCCATGTGGAACTCCTCCAAAACCTAGTAGGGTTTTAAAGGAAAAGAATTATGATATTTACACTAATGATTTAATGTTTTGATACACAGTTCATTACAGAGCAAGGTTGAGTATTGCTCTTAATGAGTTTCCACCCACCACCATGCATGTTGGTGCTCATAGGCCATGACAGCCAGCATCTGATGAACCATGTTTTCAGCTGGAGCAGGTTCTGAACTAGAAAAACATGATAGGCCAGATGTATGATGGACAGCAATGTTTTCAAACTATTCTAGTTTTGGTCTAATTCTTCTGAATTAGGCACAGTGCTGCTCTGGTCTGTCAAAAATACCTCTTAGAAAGTGTAATGTTATATAGTAGATCTTAGTGGGATGGTGTTTTTTTTTTTAACAATGGAATGTGACTATGGCGCCAATATAAAAAAAAAGGTGGGGCCCATGTGAACTATTGGATTAATAGAGGCCACTTCCCGTAGTAGAATTTCAGTTTTTTTATGTTGTAGCCTTCATACAATAACATCACACTCCTACTATTCTTCCTTCCTCTGAGCACCATTATTACAAATTTCACACATGCTTCTATTTTGTACAGTATATTTAGTTATGCACCGAAATTGGCAATTTCATGAAATTTAATCATATCCACTAAAGGAGGTCGGTGGAGGGAAATTGCTCATAAGGTACCAATATACTAGTCAATCATTTATATGCCTAATAACAGCCCATCTGTCTTAACATAAGCTGTCCAAACTGACGATTCCGTCAAATGACAGGGCATGCTCAACTATGTGACATACACAGTACTGTACATCCACAGTCATGTCATGTTTTAGGCCTTATGGGAGATCAAAATAAGCATAAATTAAATTTAGTAGGGGGAGTGTTTGCACAATGATTAATTGATGTATTCTGAGTAGAAGTTCATTATTGTTTTCGCATTGTCAGTAGTAAAGTACACTCCACCCGTATCTCACTCAGCTACCCATGCACACACAAGCTAAAACTTTACTGTATTGTTGGACTAGGGGCCAGAGAGAAAAACGGGTAAGCAAAGTCAGAGAGAGACAGGAACAATGGACCTTGAAGTGTTTATGGTTTTTAACATTGCACTAATGAATATTTTTTATATCAGATTGTAATGTAATGTGAAAAGGGCTGCTTGTACACATGAACCCATAGACAGATAATGTGAAAAGGGCTTGTACACATGAACCCATAGACAGATTATGAGGTTTCCTTAACTTCTATGGAGTGTATTAGTGTCCATAGAGACAGTGGAATAGAAGAAATCACATCCAGCGTCCCTGTAGTAACTTGATCTAACTGTATGGATTGTAGTTTGAGCAGTATCATGCCAACAGTCAATTATAAATCATTATATTAGTACAGCTTTAGTGTTATGTTCCTACAAGTAGCACTTGCCTCTCTTTCTCCTCACACACATCTATCAAATCTATTATTCAGGGCTGTCAAAGTTAACACTTATTCCTTTTTAATGCCACAAATTTTTTAGATGCATGATTAATGCACACACATTTTGTCATTATGACCCTCAGCCCACCTCGTTGTTTGGGAAATCAGGAAGCGATGCAGCAGGAGAAAAGAGCAGAAATTGATCATGAAAAGGGTCTTTTGAATATAATATACAGACATATTGCACATAGAGTAAAAAGCATAGGTGGACTCACCCTCAGTAACCTAACCTGATTGAACTTTGACCTCACCTTACCTCTGTTTTCATTCATGCCTTTCTCCAAAGTGTCTCCGTGCTCGTTTCAGAAGGCACCCCACTAGGCCACAGCCTGTCCCTATCTTAGCTTACAGCCTAGAATAGACTGTCAAAAATTTTTTGATCTTCAATCTCTGATTGTGGGGGAGGATGATATCTCCCCCCTGACCCTGGTGTCCTGGCTCTCCCTTACCATAGCATTAGTGTTGTACCTCATTTTCAGAGCAATTCTTCAACAATCAGTATCCACATGCATTTTCTTCAGGAAATGCATTTGTCTAGTTTTCTTTGCTTCTCTTCCCTCTTTATTTACACTCTTACCTGTTGAATACTACAATAATTTCTCAGAGGATTCCTTTAAGCCCACTGGTGCCCAAAACACCTGGAATAACCGTCAATAATAATTTAGATAGGGACTCAGCAATGGCACTGTCCACACATGTGATCACACCATTAAGATGAATGGGGCCTACTAAGCAGAAGATCCTGAAGTCCAATTGTAAAACCACGTGTGTGCAAAATAAAGCAAAGATGATGAATGGTAACAGAGGGAGGAAAAAACATCTAAGATAATTTGTGTTTCTTTGCCAGAAGGTTCAACAGTTTCTCAGGCTTTGCCATCTTGTAAATCCTCAACCCAAAATGTGTCTTTTCCGGGCCTTGCGACATTGTTCAGCCCTAAAGATTTATTGACCTGCAGACACTTGTCTTCATTAGGATTCCAGTTGTGTCATCACAAATAAATGACTCATGAGACATGCTCGGTGGGAAACGGTCTGTGAACTGTGAACCAAAAAGCACTTGGGGTTTCAGTAGATAATATGAATATACAATTGATTTGTGTGTGGCCAGGATCAATAGAACATGCTAATGGTCTGGGCTTTATTTTCTCATTGTAGGAATGTCAGTCACAGAAACAAACAGGCTAATTAACTTGGATCGATCTGATTGGATTGATTGGCCTCTTCTAAAATGAAATATCTTTTTTTTAACTTCACATCTATTTGTAGAGTTGAGTGTCTGTTGTTGTTTTGAGGATTTGTGGTCATTTTGTCATTTAGTGTCTCTTTGCAATAACTGAGTCTACCTGTTGTTTTGCATGGATACTTCTGTCTCTCAGTGGTTGTTTTGTGGCTTTTCCAAGCCATTTCATTTAATTCCCAAGTCACTTCAAACAGGGGCTCTGCAGGGGCCCGCTAGTCTCTTGGGTTCCTGATTCCTCCTAACGTCATGATCCCTGACATTTCTTCTAGTGCTAAAAGTAGGTTGATGTTTTTGGTTCGGAATGAAATGTCTGACATTCATACAAAGGAATAATAACTTCAGTCATCCTTTAACTGTTTAACTAGCTCCACCATCAGGTCTCACCTGTACTTTGTGTTTAGTGCTACTTAGTAAATGTTGGCATGCAATTACACAAAATGAAGATGGTGACCAAAGTAAACATTATACTGTACCCACAACGCATCAGCAGGTTAAAATTGTCATTGTCAATAAATACTTTATAATCCTTTAAAGCTAATTAATGCAGTCTCATCTCAGCAATTAGCTTTTATGCATCTGAGTATTGTATGGAACATCTTCATTTAGTTATACCAAAGTTCAGTTCATTTAAGCAGCACTCGATACTTAAAAAAATAAGGATAACTAATTTGGTGGGAAAAAAGATTCATCAAGAGGAGAAACAGAAAAAAAATAATTTTTCTTTAATAAAAAATACATTTATAAATTCTGCAGCACAAACTTCTCTTGAATATTTCCATCAACCCAGGAGAGATGTTGAAAACCAACTGTACAGTAGGCATTTAAAATAAAACATCTGGAGGCAAATTCATACAAATGAGAGAAAAATGACAAGTTGGACTGAAGGAAAAACAGCAAAAACAATATGACTTATAGTAGTTTCTGAAGAAGCAGATCTGAAAAACAAAGACTAAATTCAACTGAACAGTTTTCTAACATCCGTGTCAACACCGCAACAGGAGAATGTTGTTTTGTGTCGATCATAACACCACAAGGTTCACTTCAGTCCTTCTAAACTACAAATACAGCAGCTTGGTTTAAAGACAGGTGACACATGAACCCTCCCACATCAAGTTGTCCTTATCCACTGGTTTATAATCAGCTTTACCACAACATGCAATACAACTGAGGGAACATTTTAGAACTGGTCCTGGATCAGTGTGTAAGGACAACTTCATCCTATTCTGGAGAGGAAAACTGAGTCACCACACACCTCATACTGAAAGGTGTTTTCTGTGCATTATTAAGGTTGTAACCTTATGACTAAGATGAAAGCTCTACAGTATTTTCATGACCGGATGGCACTGATGGATGGACAGCCAGGGACATTACATTAGGGACATGTTTGGGAGGAGACAGTGGTGTGGTGGGTAGAGCAGTCGTCTCCCAACCAGAAGATTGAAGGTGCAAATCTCAGTGCCGGCAGTCCATGTGTCGAAGTGTCCTTGGGCAAGACACTGAACCCCCCCATTGCCCTCGATGGTTAGAGCCATCAGTTGAGTTGGTGCCGCAGATGGCTGCCATCGATTCTGTACCCAAGACCAATTCCTTGTCTGTAACATACTTGGCCAATAAAGATGATTATCCTTATAATCCTACAGCAGGCCTATTACCCAAAGGAGAGAGCTTTTCCTGGAGATTGTCTTTCAAAATCAGTCCTGTACATCTTTTAGAAATGCTGTATATTCCAAACACTTTTTTAAAGCCTCTTAATTTACTCAGGCAGACAGCAGCCTTGCTATATTTCATATTAGCTTTTTCAGATGTCAAATTTCTGCTCAAGTGCACTGTGCTCTGACGTGCCACGTACTCTGGGTTTTTGTGGATTTATGTAGGGGCTGGTTGTGGTCACACACATTTCTACAGTAATAGAGGCGCATCATGCCTGTTGTCTAAAAAGGGCCTGTCAGCAGTTGAATGATGTTTAATCTTTGACTACATAATAGTGAATTTTAAGTAGAGTGCCTATTAGGTTCCTTCCTTTCAGCAGAAACCTGACACTTAGTAGAAAACCATACTGTAGTAATCTGAAATACGTTTTTCACAGCAGACATTTTGAAATGTCATAGTAGGAAAAGCACGGGTTTAAGTGACAACATTCACAATAGCTCTATTCCATTTGTGTGAGCCATTTCCAGGATCCTGGCATTGTGCATTCTTGCTGAGTGACATTTTTACTGGGACACTTAGTGGAACTCCACTATCATTCATGTGGTTACCTACATCTGTGACTGTCCTATGACAGCTCAAAATGTCTCCTGTGAAAAAGGTTTGTAAAACCCAGGACAGGTCCAAAAGCTTTCTGTTGACAGAGTTTTAAACATGCATTGCCAGCAGTGAGCTCACCCAGAGCCGACACATCCTACAAGTTTTAAAGTAGTGCCCCTAAAGGTGCTGGCCAAAATATCACTGCTTTTAAGTGATGATTATGGGATAGGACTGGTGCCTTGGTGCTAAGTTGCATGCAGAAAATACCGAGTAGTTTTTCAGCTGATGCACAGGACACAGTGTTGAGTGGGAAGGAATATGGAAATGTCTTGTCTGGAGTGAAGAACATTCCAGTTCTTTTTTTGTTTTTGTTTTTGAGTCATGTGTGGCAGTAATAATAGATCAAGGACTGGTTTCACAAAGATATTTTAGACTGGTCTAAATCAGTTTTCATTTTGCTCATAGATTACTCTGATGGAAATTACACAGTTTAACAAAGGGTATAAAGATTGACTTATAAGAATAAATAATTAGCCACCCTACCCACAGCCTATCTCAGACCAAGGAAACGATCCTGAGTCTGACTGAGAAGTTGGCACAAGTACCGAGTTCTGTCACACTGAGAAGCCACAGCAGCTCAGCTCTGCAATGAATCATTCTCCCAGTAAAATGTCCTTGTAACAGCGAAATTTTCCCAGTTCGAGTGGTTTGATGCTGTTTGGTCAGCGATGTTTTACAGGTCTTATTTACTCAGAATTTATGGCAAACGAACCCCATTCAAGACAGTCAAGAACCAGAGAGCTTTGTACAACAGAAGTGTGATGTCTGGCTCTTAGTCTGATTTGAGTCACAGTCAAAGTCTGTGTCTTTGAAACTGGCCACAACAATATTTAACTAAGGGGATACAGAGTACCCAGGTTTTAAAATGGCCTGCCCACTACTGGACATAACAGTCTTCTTTTGTCTCTGAGCATAGTGTTCAGAATACATTACAATAATATACCATGGTTTTGTTCACAAATACATATATTTCTCTTTATAAAGCATATATTGTTTACACTCTTTGAATATAAATTAGACTATTTTGTAGGTTTTTAAACAGTCAGTCTTAGACAGACTGCTTTGAACTTTTACTTCCTCCAGTTCTCTTGATTCGGGTCAACACTGGACTGGTTTGATCTCGACTCTTTGCAGTGTGTGCAGCACTGCGTCAATACTTATTTCCCTCACCAAACTATAAAATATACATAGTTCCTTTCCTCCACATGCTTTCAGCACAGACAGCTTTTTTATCATATCTAATCATATGCCCACCCCTCGTAATAACAGTCAGATAAAATATGGCATTAACTACCATTTAAATATTTGCTTTATATTATGTTGTGCTTAGATGTTACAGAATTGCAATATAATTTTTTTTAATTGGTCTTAAGCAATTGTGTAAAGTGGCGCTGCAGATCCTACAGCTACAGTAAAGGGTTTTAACATTTAACTACATCTACGTACACTGTACTGTACTGAGATTCAATACTGATAGTGATCAATAAGTGAGATACCAGGTTTCAGTCAAACTCCATGAGTTCATGACATTATCACACAATTCAGTGACCTCTTAGCAAAGTCAGGACCTTTTTAGAAAGTGCTACTGTGTATACTGTGCTAGTCCACTACTCATTCTGGCCTCTCCAGACTCCCAGCCCGACTGTTTAATGACCTTAACAAAGGAAAAGATTAAAGTATCTCTCTGTCGTTGCTCAACAGTGTTACTGTGGCAGTGATGATACGAGTAAGAGGATTCGACAGCAGGGTGGCACCCAGAGTTGGGGATGAATCTGTTAGGGCGACATGTTTCAGGCAGACCCAGTGGTCCTAATTATACAAGTGGAGTCATTTCATGCCTTATAACAGCTTTTAACACTGAAAAAGTGTATGACAGTGAAACATCTTTCAGACCAAAGTCCTTTTCACCCCTAGGCTAAATTCTGATATCCACAGTCAGTATGAATGGAGCCCTAATGAAGTTTGGTAATTTGTGCTAGCTCAGCAAAGATTTACTTAATTTCTCCATGCTCAAATGAGTCTTCTAACTGGTGGTGATAGTGAAGCATAAACAGAGAGAGTCAGGAGTAGATGCACCTCCTCTGACTATGTTTTACTGAGAAGGAAGTTCCAGTCAGAGCCCAGCAGCTTGAGATTTCTGTCACCATCTGCAAATACAAAGAAGACTGATTGTATTGAGAAAGTCAGATGAAATGCTGAATCCTTCTAAATGAACTTAAGTGACATTTACACTGTCCTACATGAGAGACTTCTGCTTTTTAGGCTTTTAAACTGAGATACACATAAACATCTTCAAGCATTAAAAACCATTTTCATAGAATATAGATTGTTTTTTTTTTTTTTAACAGAAGCACAAACCAGAAAACATTCTTAGTGCATCATCATCATCATGTTGCATCATAGTTCGGTTGCTATATAACTTGACACCTAAAATCATTAAATAACAGTCACTGTTGGAGGGTTCAGTCTATTAAAGGTTATAGATTCTATTAGAGAATCTGTGTTGGTCATGTCACCATGTACCTCTGTCTTGTTGTGGATCCATAATTATCTAACATCTGAGTGCTGGCCACCTCCAGATTCCAGTCACACATCTCCAGCAGCTTTAGACACTCTGACCTGCTCCTCAGACCCAAACAGAACAACTGCTCCACCTGCAGAGAAAAACAAAGATCGGTCATACAAAGAAGGACTGGAATTAGAGGTGGAGGAGGGATGAGATGCTGCAACACAGTAGGGACACAGAGACTGATAGTACAATATGGTAACAAGAAAAAACTGTAGACCTTTTTACTCATTCATGAGAGTGTGAATGCAGACCAGTAAGCATATAGTAAAATTATTTCAGTTATTTGTTTTTGAGTGTTCTAGATTGAATCTGTGACCACAGGATTACATTTTTACTTCTAAACTTTGCCGCCACCATTAAAAACCAGTCAAGTGACCTTTTGCTCACTGCCATCCAAACACATCGTTCATTCTCCCACAGTGGCCACAAACACAGCCAGTTAGAAGGGTGCTGAGTACCGCTGTAGACGCATCAGTGAGTCTATATGCGTTTTATTTATAGCCAGCTCACTGCAGCAGCAGTGAGCTGATTTTCCCCTTACAGGCCACCAGATCTGCTCTTATTATTTCCTAATATGAACCTATAGAGTAAAAATTCAGCAACTCTGAATGACTACCTGTTTGCAGTTACTTTTATATCCTGGACAAATCAACAAGGTTATTACAGAACAGGCCTGAGATGCAGTAAACTGGATCTCTAAGGACCCTTCTGCAGCACAGCAGTGTTTACAAATGAGGTGTTGTTTCAGTAATTGTTGTGCTGCAACATAATTGGCCACTTTGTAAAATCTTCATTTTGATGGACTACAACTGTAAAATGTTTGCTGCCTTATTATATTATATACAGTGGTGTGAAAAAGTGTTTGCCCCCTTACTGATTTCTTATCTTTTTGCATGTTTGTCACACTGTAATGTTTCAGATCGTCAAACAAATTTATATATTAGTCAAAGATAACACAAGTAAACACATCATGCAGTTTTTAAATGAAGGTTTTTATTATTAAGGGAAAACAAAATCCAAAACTATAGAGCCCTGTGTGAACAAGTGTTTGCCCCCTAAACCTAATAACTGGTTGGGCCACCCTTAGCAGCAACAACTGCAATCAAGCGTTTTCGATAACTTGCCATGAGTCTTCCACAGCGCTGTGGAGGAATTTTGGCCCACTCATCTTGGCAGAATTGTTGTAAGTCAGCCACATTGGAAGGTTTTCGGGCATGAACTGCCTTTTTAAGGTCATGCCACAGCATCTCAATTGGATTCAGGTCAGGACTTTGACTAGGCCACTCCAAAGTCTTCATTTTGTTTTTCTTCAGCCATTCAGAAGTGGACTTGCTGGTGTGCTTTGGATCATTGTCCTGCTGCAGAACCCAAGTTCGCTTCAGCTTGAGGTCACAAACGGATGGCCGGACATTCTCCTTCAGGATATTTTGGTACACAGCAGAATTCATGGTTCCACTTATCACAGCATGTCTTCCAGGGCCTGAAGCAGCAAAACAGCCCCAGACCATCACACTACCACCACCATATTTTACTGTTGGTATGATGTTCTTTTTCTGAAATGCGGTGTTACATATACGCCACACATAATGGGACACACACCTTCCAAAAAGTTCAACTTTTGTCTCGTCTGTCCACAGAGTATTATCCCAAAAGTCTTGGGGATCATCAAGATGTTTTCTGGCAAAACTGAGACGAGCCTTTATGTTCTTTTTGCTCAGCAGTGGTTTTCGTCTTGGAACTCTGCCATGCAAACCATTTTTGCCCAGTCTCTTTCTTATGGTGGAGTCATGAACACTCACCTTAACTGAGGCAAGTGAGGCCTGCAGTTCTTTGGATGTTGTTGTGGGGTCTTTTGTGACCTCTTGGATGAGTTGTCGCTGCGCTCTTGGGGTAATTTTGGTCGGCCGGCCACTCCTGGGAAGGTTCTCCACTGTTCCATGTTTTCGCCATTTGTGGATAATGGCTCTCACTGTGGTTCGCTGCAGTCCCAAAGCTTTAGAAATGGCTTTATAACCTTTTCCAAACTGATAGAGCTCAATTATTCTCTTTCTCATTTGGTTTTGAATTTCTTTGGATCTCGGCATGATGTCTAGCTTTTGAGGATCTTTTGGTCTACTTCACTTTGTCAGGCAGGTCCTATTTAAGTGATTTCTTGATTGCGAACAGGTGTGGCAGTAATCAGGCCTGGGTGTGGCTAGAGAAATTGAACTCAGGTGCGATAAACCAGTGTTTTGACAGGGGGGCAAACACTTGTTCACACAGGGCTATATAGTTTTGGATTTTGTTTTCCCTTAATAATAAAAACCTTCATTTAAAAACTGCATGATGTGTTTACTTGTGTTATCGTTGACTAATATTTAAATTTGTTTGATGATCTGAAACATTACTTATATTATATTTGTGATTTTTTCTGATAACTTTTTACTACCTTTAGTCAGTTTCAGGGCTCTATATGATACCTTTATAAAAAGCTTGTATTATTTGATTTAATTTGATTTATTCTTTCAAACATGTAACGACAGTCAATATGTCAACACACATAATTTCACACATATCCACAAATGCATTATCA